GCCCTATGGGCTACATCTTTCATTCACTCAACTTGATACTCTTGTTAACATGATTCATCATATATATAGAGTGGGAGATACAATCAAATCCCTTCAGATAAGGAATTAAAATAAATCAAAGATACAAAAAATCATAATAAGCACAAAGCATGGGATCTCCATGTATTTTAATATCTTCTGATATCTTTGACAATATAAGCTTATCTCCAACAGATTAAGGGGTCTCAATGTGGCACATTTCGGTATTGATCATTGTCTCAGTTCGAATTTGGGTGTACTGTGCTTGTAAGGAAGTTATATATGTTCTGCTAGGTGGCAAGGTTCTTTTGGAAATAGGTTATGTGGGCATCTTGGTACTTCTAGGGCCTTAAAATATTACATAATATTATAGGAAAAAAGCACATAATTGTCATACTCTAAGCGTGTGTGCCTGCATACATGGATAGGGATGCGTGCATAGTTTGTGTGGGAGCCATTGAATGCATGCACATGTGTACCTACATGTTTGTTTGTGGGTTTGTGCATGCTTGCCCATAAGTTCATGCGCTTGCATGCTTGGGCATGCAGCATGCCTGTTTAATCAAAAAAAGGGGGAACATGCTTTTGTTATTTTTTTTTGAACTTGAACATCCTTTTGTTTGAGAAGTCAAATATATAAGTAATTGTCTAGACAAATGTCAAACTTTGTCTATGCACACATAATGCTACTTGGAATCTTAACTAGAAAACTCTTTACCCTTTTGCAATGGAAACACACATAGTTAATAAGGCCACACAAATGCAAAAATGTACCTGGCAGTAGAAGTCAGAGTTTCAGTGCAACATACTATTTGGAGTTGACATATTTTGTCACTAATTTGAACCAAACTTAATTTCCTTATATTGGAATGTTCTGCTCATAGTATGCAGGTGATTTTGTTTCTTTCATATATAAAACTAAAGATAAACATTTTTAAGAGATGTAAAGCTATTTATCTTAATGAAACTTCCATCTTGAGTCGTGGATAGAGCCTAGATTGGAGGATGTAGAAAGAACAATTTCTTCATTTTGCTGATTTTAAACATTTGTAATCAATCTTACAGAAAACTCAGCCTCTGCCAATTTGGCCTATTAAATCAATGTCCTCAGTTTAAGCAAGAGCTTTGATCTTACCCCCTACTTCCCACATTTTTTGCTCATCATTTTAAATTTGATAATTATGCTTGATTTGTAGCCAACTGGAGAAACATACCCTTATAATTGGTATTTGGGACTAAGGCATATTGAGAGTGCCCAATTTTTATTGCACAGTTGGTCTGTCATTTGTAAATGATAGATATAAAATAGGTTTTCTTTTCCCTCTGCCTTCTGAAAAGGAGTATGGTTGTGCAGAATTTTGTTGGTGTTGTTGATAGAATTTGTTTTTACATGCAAAATGTATCATAACTTTTAAACATTGTTTATCACCAGATATATAACCGTCTGTTCCCTTAATCGAAGTTTATTTACAAGCCAGACATTTTTGATTTGGAAAAACAGCTTGCAAATCAATCGAATAGACTGTTGAATCTCCAAGAAATGGTCGATGATTTGGCATCAAAGGTCTACAATTTGTTTGCCTTTCAAAATACTTTTTTTGGATTTCTTATTTGTCTTTATAGTGGAGATTGTTTGCATCTTGATCATGTTCACCTAATTAAATGTTTCTAGACTGACCTTGTTTGTATGTTGTTATATTATATTGTGTTTACCTTATACATTTTCCTATTCTAGATATAAGGGCTTCATCCATATTCTGGAGTCTATATTTGTTCAATTCGAAGCTCTTTGATATCTGGAAGTACGCACCATAAGTTGTTAATGTGATTGCAACCATTTCCTTTGTTCAAGCGAAGTAACTTTCTGGTAATCGTTACCTATCAGATTTTCCTTAAGTGTCTGAACATTAATAAACAGTCTTAGACTACCTTGAGAAAATGAAAATCTCTAGAATTGTGCTCGACTTTTCTGCGTACCACATGTTATATGATTTATGTTTATATTTTTATATTTATCAATTTTTTTTGGAAGGTTCACTTTGAACAACTTAATTATAGATTCTGTCTTATAGTGAGGGGGAGGTGGGGTGGATTTGAACCTAGATAACAAATGGAGTCTTTCAAGTCCCTATTGATTGGGGCAAGCCTGAATTTGATTTTGTTTGTGCACTAGTTAAGAATGTTTAATTATTTTTTTTCAAAAAACTTAAATTCAGAATGCATGAATAGTGACAAATGCAAAAAGAGAAAAAGAGGAAAGTTTTGTTTAAAATATACTTGTTGCAGATGCTTAATTGTTGTCATCAGCTTGTCTATTGGTTTAGTTCCACGTATGTAAAACAAGAAAAATCTCTGTTTAATTGTCCTTTATTATTTTGTTTTTGATTTGTAGCATGCTTATCACTGCTGGAAAATCTGCTTTTCGCGGCGTTTAAAAAACGCCGCTATAAGTACTAAAAACGTCGTTAACTCTTTTTGTGACGTTTAGTACCAAACGCCGATGACGCGGCCGTCGCTATAACTTTTGAAAAACGTCGTTATATTATTATAGGCGGCGTTTTTAAAAACGCCGCCAAATGTCTTACCTAACAGCACTATGACGTCACTATGATATTTAGCGACGTTTTTGAAATGCCGTTATATTTTTTGAAAAATCTGACCGTTAGATTTATAGGTTTAGGTGGCGTTTCTTAAAACGCCGTGGTATCTTTTTTTTTTTGCTTTTGAAATTATGCTAATTTTATGCGAATGAACTAAAAAAAATACCTCTAATGAACTAAAAAAAATACCTCTAATAAAACTAAATAACACTAATATAAAATAATAACTCACACTCAAATAATAAAATCATATCAAATGATAGTCCACAATCATTGTGCAAAAAAAAAAAAAAATCTTAATATTATTTTAATTATATTAGTCACAGTATTTGGAGCACTGAAAAAAGAATGGAATGTACAACATAGAAAACGATTACATATACTGGTCTAGCAACCAGAAGAAGACACTAGAACATTATGCTCCTTTAGACGTCAGACGGTTTTGTAGTTGTAGAATGCCAGCAGCCTTCTGGGACAAGATTGCATTCAATCTAGATATAATCATCCAACTAATTTCCTGGTTGATCTGCCTCAACCAATAGGTTCATCTCCTACAAATATGAAAGACGTATGTCAAAATCATGGATCTGCAGGCCATAGGAGTCAACAAATTGAACCTTCATTGATGAATAAATATCTGAAGATAAGCCAAAAGAGTCAAAAGATTGAACCTTTAGTAGTATCTACACCTCATTCACTTCCAACAAGATCTAAATTTGCAGATTATGTTTGTGATCAGTTGATTGGCATAGATAATGGGTTACGAATTTTCCGTTCCCAAATTCTTTTGTCCCATGTCCCAAAACTATCACAATTATTGAATCATGCTCGATGCACAAAAATCAATCGGAGACATCTTCGCCTGCCAACAGTGAGCAAATATTCTGACTTAGATGATATATGGGTTCATTGTGGAGACATGAATGCAAAGCTTGCAGAACAAAAGTACCTGGATTAGGGCCCACAGAGCCCAATATAAGTGTGAAGCTAACATGTAAGTGTTTGTCTCAACATAGAGAGCTTGGAGATCTTTGTCAGATACCTGTTGTTAAGAACAGCTTACTTGTATTATTGCAGGGCTTTTCAAATTATAAGCATATAATGTGCAGTCTTTTCAATGAAGCAGTATGGTCCAAGCATCAACGTTAACTGATTGTTTATTCTTTCTCGATTCATTTTCAACCTTTTCAACAAAGATTATTGATGCACAACCATATACGAGGCCAATGAAAGCCACAGGGAAAAATCTAAGTAAACTAGATGAAACAAAGGAAAGGACTGTGTTGCATGTGTGATATTTTCAGGCAAAAGAACCTAAATACAGAACAGCATTATCATTATGCAAGGTGTACATTATTTTAGCACTAACCATCCAGAGGTCCCACCAATGGGATCAGAGATGGCTCAACCATTAAGCAACTTAGTCAGTCGCCTAATGCCACGAAGAATATTTTATAATAAAAAAAAATTATGGTTGGAGACCCTAGATTTTCAAAGACAAAATAAGATAAGGTCTCGTTTTCATATTTAGCCTTGGATCTAAAAAATTCTCGAGCTGCTATTGAATGGGATCTATGTCCTCCGCATGTCAAGTGATTTTACGCCATAGATCTCATTTAAATTTTCAAGCTACCTAAATCAACCCTGCTTAAAAGCTTGACTTTAAACAAACTAATGCAACCCAACAAAAACTTCGAGAAATAAAAAATGAGTTTGGGTCCTTTTTTATTGCCAGATATGTTTATTGACAAGCAACAATTTTAGTTTTCAATTATTCAAATCAAACACAATTTTAAAGAACTTCTTGCACTTTGGGAAAAATTTACTTTTACCAATTCAGAACCTCATGAAAGATGCACAAGTAATGCAAAATTGCTGTAAGTTTAACAAGTTTGCAAACTTAATGTACCTCGAGTGGTTTTTCAGGTTCTAGATAGTGCCCGAAGAAATGAAACTGCTCAACTTTACTCGGATATCTACATAAACACCAAGTTCAAGAATCAATACCTCATCTATGTATATCACCGTCATAAAAGAAAATGAGAAAAGAGCAAGGAAGATGCCATACAAGCTGTAGTCACAATCATAGCCCGCATATTCATTGAAGTGATTTCCAATGTCAAAACCTCTATAATTGTACGATCCGTATTCAAAATCAATGAAGTAGAGTTTCTCTGGATGTCAACCAACAAAGGTAAGGATCACTAAAAAGGGAGACAAATGATCATAGCTAACTATAAGGAATCGATGGTGAACAACAAAACTTTGGCCAATTGATGGTGAATAACAAAACTTTGGCCTTTCTACACACCATTTCTGGCAAAAAAGAATTCCTGTTCATAAGCACAAGATATTTCTCCACAAATCAATCTATAGCTCCTCAACACTCAAGAGCACTCAACATAAAATCAGCATATGATTATCGCAAACCAAAAAAGAACTTCTGAAGCTAGCCAAGAAAGAAAGGAAAATTGTCTTCATCCTAACACCAGAGTGATTTGAGAACTCTTTTCCATGTTGTTTCAAGATGCAAGTTTTCAGGAGAAACTAAAACGTTGACTGAAATGACCCTTCACAATAAAAATGTCAACTACAAAATATTTTAGAGCCAAAAAAATGTATCAGCCTAAGGAAAAGAAAAAAGGGGGAAATGAAGCCAAGTAATCTAATTCAAGGTTTGGCACATATGGTGTGTTTTGCTCCAATTACTTAAATCACCAATTGGCAACTTCTTAAGCTCAATATCTATCGATACATCATTTGAGTGAATGCGCATCTACTTCTAAGCAATATTTAATTTTGTTTATCTTATCTTCTGTTGGTCTAGTTTCCTGCACCTTGGACCTTCTATCACTAAACCACACATAACATATCTAAAGACGAGTAAACAAAATCCTCCCACCAAGTTAAACAGATGCCTCAAAAAGGCAAAGTCAAATTTCTATAATGTGACAGAAAGGAACATAAAAAAATATTTCACACAATGAACCGTAGCTAAAATCCTGAAACAGCATATCAGGAGAGAGATTCATATTCCCATCCCTAAATTAGAAAAGAAAGACAACAGATAGTATTACGCCAATTACAAGCAAGTCATGAGAAGAGTGAATACCTTGAGCTTAACAACCTCAGCTTCAACTTCTTCAAATGAAATTGTCTCATACTTCCTCTGCTTCTCGCTATCATCAAATTTTAGAGTGGATGCTGCAAGAATAGGATTAGAGTGTTTTAAATAAAAGGATACTCGAACATGAGAAACACAACATGTTGAATAAAAAGATATTCTCCAACTGCCAAATTTAGAGACAATTTTTAATCAAATAAGAAATAATACTATGAATACCCATCACTAAGTAGAGGAAGATAATCATTAATCAGTAAAGGACCTTTCTTAAAGAACTTAAAAACTTCATTCCATAGTTGAGGTTCTCTGAAGCCTGGAATTTCCACCTGATGGAATCTACGAAGCTGCTTTGCAATTTCAGCGGCCAGCTTTGGCTTTCTCATGTCTGTCAATAAAGCAAGATCTGTCAACCCAAGCTTGTTGGTCATCAAAAATCTTTGGAATTCATGTCATTTCAATAGAAAGATTTGTTGAGTTTCCAATTCAACCCCCAGTTGCAATAAAAGGCAACACCTCCAAGGACATTTGTCATTTGTCAATGACCCAAGAAGTTTTAGACGAAGGAGAGATCAAGAGAACAATTTGTTGTAGCATATCAACTTGGTGTTTTATTTTGGATTCGAGGGTCTGTCTTGTCTATAACCATAAAAGGGCAAGTTGAAGGAATATGTGGTGACAACCAGTAAACTCGTCAGACATAAAAGGAAAAAATAAAAGAATAAAAAATAAAAAAAGGAAATTTTCACCCACAGTGAAAATTCGAAAGTGAAAATGGGGCAATGGATACCCTAATAGAGTGGTAGGGTGCTATAACTGCAGCGTACTTGAACAAATACCCTAAAAAGTCGAAATGATAATGTTATTAGAATTTTAACAGTAAATAAACAGAATAAATTCAAATCCCATAGCATCACAATAATTACACATCAAAATATCTGTAATAAGAAATAATATCAAAGTGAAAATGGGGCAATGGATCTCACCCTATAACGAGCCTGGTGATAATAAAACGGACATGTCCCATTATGCAGGAGTCAAAGCATTTTGCAACAGTATGAAATGCATCAAGAAAAGGACAATGGGGGGCCGATGGAACCAAAAATGATTATCTGAAGGTTGCACTACTAATTCCCCTTCAATTGCAATGTGCTTCTCTACAACCTCGTGAGCTAACTGGGTGATTACATGCTCCAGCTTAAACATGTTAATAAAACTAAATAAAAACACTCTACTTCCTTTCAAGTAGAGAACCGAAGCATTGAATGGATCGCAATAACCTCTTGTCAAACCCAAAACAAAGAAAAAAAGAAACTAATATCAAAGCAAAAAAGAAAATAATTAAATCACTCGACAACATTCGGCAACGTAATTTAAAAAGACTCATAGTAACTTTATATAGTAACATACCATTAACGTTCAACAACAAGAAGGAGACCACAAATATCCATAAATACCAACTGCAATAAGCCAAATTAGATATTAAACAAGATGCAGATTAAAAATAACAAGTTTTTTTGTTTTTTGTTTTAAGACAATATCCCTAGATTACCCCTCCCAGCACTGGGTAGTGACAAACCAGCAGCTGCAAATGTTATCCTCTCTCTTTTGGAATTTTATTTTTGGCAATACACCAAGCGAACACAGAAGAATAAATAAGAAGCTGTACAATTTGCACAGGAAATCCCAGCTATAACTTGCCTTATACCAACGACTTTCTTAAAATCATCTTCCAAAGCACGGATCATATACTTGTGAAAATTGAACTTTGGATTTCCCCTGCAATGTGTCCACACAGGGAATACATTCAACATTAACACAAGTGCCAGTGAAGTAACAATAAAAAAAAATCTGGAAATTTAAAATCAGATACTAACAGTTAGACAAAATAATGGACAAGAGAGAGACAAAGCAGATCTGATATTACCATGTTAGCAGATCGGGGAGAGAGAGAGAGAGAGAGAACAGATCTGATCGAAGAGAGAGCAGATCGGCATCTCTTCATCGTTGAGCTTCTGCTCACTGTTTCCAACGATCCACATCCAACGCCACTTGCTTGTCCCGTACATGATCAGAGACACTAACACCGCACTCGAAGCCCTAGATAAATCGATTCACCATTGCTGCTGCTCAATCTGATGAAAGAGAAGAGTTTTCCACACAAGGACTAGAAAGAATAAAGGAACAAAAACGAAAGGAGAAAACACAAAACAAAAGCAGAAAAAGCTGGAAATCAACCAAATCAAGAGAAAATAATTCCAAATCGTTAGTTTTAGCCATGAAATTTTATAGATCTTGTGTGAATGCAGCAAATCTATATCAAAAAACTCTAACCTTGAGCCCTAGATCGATTTAGATCATAGGGATTCGAACAATCAGGAAGATATACGCTCAAATGAAGAGTAGAACAAGATTTTTCGGATCAAACAGTTGAAGAATTGATGGAGATCGAAGATCCAACGCCTCAATTTCTCTCTCTTCCTAATGTCACACCTCTGCTCAATCAGGATAAACGAATGCCATAGCCTTGAGTTGAGCCACTGTTTAAAAGAAATAATTGGCGCACAAAACAAGATGGTTTAGTTTAATTCTTTTAGAAATTGAAAATTCTGGACAGAGTTGACGACGCTTTTGAAAAACGTCATGAAAAAAACGTCGCTGTATGCCTTTTTTCTTGTAGTGTATAATCCAGATAAGGACTATGTGGAAGTGGAAGCAAAACTGCGGGGGCATCTGGAATCTTTCTTAGAAACTGCAAGATCCTTCAACATGATTTACACCAAGGTGTGCACTTGCCCCTTCATTTCATTGGATTGTTTAAAACTTTGTTGTCTCATTTGTCTACTCTATTAGAAGCCCGATCAATCAGAGCATACTTCTATTTTTCATAGCTGTGAACATGATCCTCGGCACACTTTTGTAGTGATGTAATGACAAGCCAATGCTTTTTGGTGGACATAGAAGGAACGTCCATTTATGTTACAGCTCAAACTTTACTACAAGTTTTTGAGACAAATTATCAAATCAACATTTCTGCAAGCTTATGCTGATTTTAACATGTACTTGATACTCAAGAATCTTTGTTGACATAATAATTTTGTTAAAGTGGAGCATGCGTCTGTTTGTGTGCGTGTAGGGCATGTTGGGATGCTAGCATCTTTGTTTGCAGACATGTGGGCTTATTCTTGGATGTGTATTTACTGCTAATATATTTTGGATAATTGTTATGTTTTGTTTTCTGTAGGAAATTCGTTCTTGGACGCAGATGATGGAGGTACCACAACTTCATGGGTTTGGGCCAGCTGCTAATCGCTTGTTAGAGGCATACAAGACACTCTTGAAGGTAACTTGGTACTAAATTCTTTTAATGTATTCTATTACCTGCTAGGTTGTGGTTAGGCCTTAACGGATGAAAACTTTGTTTGAGCTCCTCGGAAGCTAGAAGCCAGTTCTCTGGTGTGACATGACATTTGAAAACACTTCCCATTACATATTGGCAGTTGCAAATATTTTTTCTATTTATTCTTATATGTATAGGATCACTAATGGCTCAAACTTTTTCACACTAGACTTAGCATTCATGTAGCCTAAGTGCTCAATTAAGATGGCAAAAATAGCATTGATTTAGTAATACGTTATCATGTGTAGTTTCACTGTTAATTCAAATTCTTTCTAAGTAGTCTGTTTTATGTTCTTCATGTGTTATCTAACTGCTCTTAACTCCATCCTTGTGGGGGTGGCAATTGGTTGGGTTGGGTGATTTTCTAGAGTAACAAGTGTTTGTTTGATTCAAAATCAACCTGTTTTAATATACAGGTCAAAAGTCTAAACCCAAACTCATTTAAAATCATATAAACCGCAATCCTCTTGCTTAACCCATTTCATAGTATTTTATAGTTTAAAACTTCTTTTAACCTAAACATGTGGCTTACTTTTAAATTATAAAATGTCTCAAATAATTTCAAATTTATAAAAATAATTATATTATTAATGAAGTATTAATATAATTAGCATCAATACCTTTTTCTATCAAAAAATCCAACATTTAAAAAAATTTCACTGACGTTTTAGTAATCTCATAGACCTTAACCCAACTGTAAGAAGCATGGATATAGTGCCTATATGATGTGATGTGGATATACTGACATATTAGTTTTTTGAAAGTCAGGACACATCTGGGACACGATAACAAATAGACACATTTTTTTTAATATATATACATGAAAATAATAACAATTTATTAATTCTTTAAGTTACAAATATATTTATATTTTATTAGATTAAACTAGTAATCATTTTTCACATTCTATGTGTTGAAAAGAAGTCATAACAAAAAGTTTAAAAATCTACTTTTAAGCTTCTATTTCCTATACAAATTGAAAGTTTTAGACACCAGGATTTCCAAAATTTTAAGCCTTAAGGAAGTCCCCTAGGGGACATCCCAGTGGCTTAGGCCGCATTTCCTCTGTAATGAGACTCAAGTTCGAGTCTCCTTACCTTGCCTAAAGCCTAAAAAAAAAGTACGAAGCCTTTATGGAAGAGAAACAAATATGGGTACTACTCTTAATAGGCATAAATTAATAGGAAACCACTCCACGACCTTGAACTAAATTCATTGGTTGTTAAGAATTTTTTTTTTTGATTAGCAAAGAAAAATGAAACTTTATTGATGAGATGAGCAAAAACGAGCATCAATATACATCAATAAAGGAGGGTAGTGCAAAAAGCATCATAGCTAACACTCCACAATCCCAACTAGGTTGGCACCAAAGAGAAAGCACAATCATCTGCTAGCACTAAACCCATAGATTGGCGAGAAACCAATCCAAAACAGAGAAACAAAACGAAAAACAGAAAAAAAAACCACCCAACCACATAGCAAGGGCAACCTTCAAACATGTACAATTCATTTTAAAAAAAAAATAAATTCAAACACGTACAATCCAAATCTATCTAACCTCTAAAAAAATCAAAACTCTATTGGCGAGCATTGATTTTTTTTTAATATACAAAAATATAAAATACATACGATCCAACTCTAATAAACTTCAACTCTAACAAACTCCAACTCTAATAAACATCATCAACATTCGATTTTTATGCTAGTTTATCATAAAATCAAAGCTTCTATTAATGATAATAAAAAACAGTTGGGTACAAAAGATGCCTGTCTCAGAACTCTGGAACTCCCAAGGTAACCTTGGGACTACTATTAAGAAACACCAAAAACTTTGAGATACAAGCGATGACCTACCCTTTCCATTAACTTAACCCTAACTTCCATATTACACGAAAAAATTCCAATACGCATGACTCTTAAATCATTGCAATTTATAACTTGCATTATATAATGCTCAATGATACAGTAAGGTTGATAGGAATGAACTTCATATATGTTACATTTCACGTATGCATTTTATGATATTTGTTCTAGAACACATGTTTTCCAACTCCTTTGGTATTAGTTTCCAATGTTATTATGTTGGGTTCAAATCTTGACTTCATTAGGGTTAGGAGGAAGGGCTAGCTCAATGGAGTTGCCCGTTGTTGACTTCCTAAGCCCAAACACTTCTTCGGAGGAAGCGTGCCATGTTAGATACTGACACTCTTTGGTTACTTCTGAAACTGTGTTTGATACTTCTTTAACTTGTCTTAATTAAAACTTTAAATTCGTAATACTAGCTACTTCAGCGACACTTCTTGAATCCTTTGAACATTACCTATATGATTCATCTTTTCATAGTAACAAAGTTGTGCATTTTCTGGAATGCAACTTGTGCGCTCTAATTATGTTTTGAAATATTTATAAGATAAATATATCATCCATAGTTCAGTATTCTACAATTGTTTTATATTCTTTAAAATACAATTGTTGTGGATGATATCTTGATATTTAAATGTGGAGAAGTGGTTTGGAAATACTCTTCTGATCTTGAGGAACGCTGGTGATTCTCTTCCGGTCACCTGAAAAGGAATATATACTCCGACGGGGGTGTCGGAATTAGCACTCCTACGGACAAGTCAGTAACAACACTCAGGAATACTTTTATTCTAAGTTAAGCACTACAATACTTACATACCTCTTACTGACTGATGTTCTTCTATTTATATCTTTTCTTCCATGGTCTCTGGGATTAGGTCCATTTCCAACTCATATTCGGCACATCTTATAATAGACCGACCCTCACTCGGTCCCTTGCCTAATCGGCTATGGGGGTTCAAGAGTTCGTTTTAAAAGAGCCAAATTATGAAATTAACACAACGAAAGAGCATGTTCTTGAGCCAAATTTGGCTAAGAATGATGTTCCATGTATGACTCGGGGGGTCCAAAAACCAAATTTTAGAGAGTCAAGTCATGAAAATAACATATCTATGGGTGATTTTCATAATCCATTAATGGCTAACATGGAAAAACAACCCACTTTGCCAAATAATTATGAAAATCAATTCGGCGAAAGTCTTGTTTTTAAAACAAACATGGTTAAGAATAATGAACAAGCCACTGTTTATGAATTCAAAATTTTTGATATTTTTCAAAATGACAAAAAGTATAAATTTTCATGGTCACACTATACCATGACTTTTGGTGTTCAAAATCCTTTTTGGATTTGTGGTTCACATCAAAATATAATTATGATGATGTGGCTAATAAAATTAACAAATTGTTCTTATGAGTTCGAAGCATTGAGAACAAGGGATGACCATTTAAAATGCATGAACTTGGCTAGAAAAAGCCTATGCATTTAAATAAGTGGTTAAGAATGGCTTATCTTTTCAAATTGATGGCCAGTTGTTTGTATGTACACAATCAAAGCATCAAAGATACATTCGAAGCATCAAAAGTTGTTTCGAAGCTTGATTACTTCACATTCGAAGCTGTATAAAGCTTTGAAGATACATTCGAAACATCAAGAGTTGTTTCAAAGGTTGATTACTTTACCTTCGAAACTGTATAAAACTTTGAAAACTTTCGAAATATGTACATCTCTTCAAATATATGTAAAATGACAATTAATTAGTTGTCGAATAATGCCTGTTTTTGGCATCATAAGTTGGCTCGAAGAACAACAGTTTTGGTGTCTTCGAAGAATTAATAATTGGTTCGAAACACAAAATTAATATTTCCATTAATTATGTGTGAACCAGAACATATAAGATTTGAATAAATATTGGCCAAAAATAGCTTCGAAAGCCGTTTTGCCATAAGTTGCTTCGAAAGCCGTTTTGCCATAATTTTATAAGCTTCGAAGCACTCTATCTTGCATCAACAACAGCTTCGAAGAAATAATAATGGAGGTTATGAACCTTCGAAGCTTTGTCGAGTATTTTTGAGGATGTAATTCGTCTTTTGTCGGTTCCATCGACCTTCGAAGAATGATTTTGGTCCTTTATATCACTTTCGAAGCTTGTTACTAGTAATAATTCGAGTCATCTAGTCATAATTTCACACTCATTCGAAGCACTTTATTGGTGTTGTTACATCATTCGAAGCACTTTACTGCTTAGGTTAGTCATGTGCTTGGTTCGGCCCTTCAAAAATTCAAATAAACA